TATAGCAACTTGAAATGCTCCCAAAAATGGCTCCACAGCATGTAAAAATATAATATAAGCTCTGGCGGACTTGGTTCTATGGTAGGTCTTAAAGGGTTAATGCAATCATGTGTATTTACCAAGTTTGAGTTACTGGTACAAACACGACTTTAGGCTGAGCATTAAGAAAGCTGCAGACAACTGAACAGACTGACAGCTGTGTTGAACATGTTTGTTTTCATATTTCTGCAGCACGTAGCCGTCGTTAGCACTCACCGGTCAGCCAGGATGTAGGGATGGGATGTCTGCCACACCAGAGGACGAAACTTCATCACGGAGATGAAGCGGCCGAGGTTCTTCACCTCCTGGTTCTGATACTCACCGTACACCATGCCAGACAGATAAAACAGTTTGGCCCCCTGGTGGTTGAGGCACAACAGGTCACAATGTTGTCACAGACACAAGGTTTTACATCAATGTGCAACTTTTGTACAGATGTGGGTTTACCTGGTACACCTCAGTCCAGAATCGATGTTTGAGGTTTTTCTTTGTCTTTCTCAGAGTCTTGTTGTTCTTGAATGCATCCAGATGAGTCAGCACACCCATGATACGAGGGAAACCGTGGACTTGACAGATATTGAGAAACTCAAATGTCTCCATCTCAAAGCCAAAGCTGGCATCAATCAGCATCAAAACCTGGAGACAAAAGGAAGCAAAGCATTTCTATCGTTTCATTCATTTTACAATCTTACCGGACACGTACACTTGCAGTCAGAAGTCACGGGCATGAATGTCCTGCTCATTTTGGGCTTTTAATAACTTCTTTGAACTGTTATTTTATAAACTGGGTGTGCAAGTTTATGTTGGATTGTCTCCAACACACAAAGGGTTGCATGGACCTGGCTTTTAACCAGAGCCCACACATCCTCCTCAGGGTAGCAGCTGGAGCTTTGAGGGGGCAGAAGCTCAGCATTAGCATGCTTCCCATTTCAAAACCAGTTTTGATGCTGTGAAGTTAAAGAATCGGGATGTGGTTTGCCTTCATTATTCCATCTGACAGCTGTATATGAGCCCGTGTA